ACTGAAAGATTAAAATTACCAATTCTATTCCTAAAAAAAAAACACCAAGCAAGTTTGTTTTAAAGAACTATATTAATGTCGACAAGAAATATAGTAATAAAATAACTTAATTTCTTAGAATATTGTCTCGTGACAGATATTTCTTTCTCTTCTGTAAATTATGAGAGATATTTAATGAATGTAATGGCCAATTGCTTCACTGAGAAGACAACTTCTATGAAGTATTCACCCTTCAATAAATTTAATAATCACCAAAGGTTGCATATTCTCTACCAAATCATTCACATATATATTTGCCACTGTCATGTGACGCATTTAAAATATTATTTTATACATCTCTAAATATAATGCTTAAATGAACAGTTAGTCATCACTTGTAGTTTAAATAGTTAAGTAATTATCATACATTGTCAGTTGTAAAGTCAGATATGAAGAATATGACTAAACAAAAGTGTTGCATTCGTGAGTGATAATTGAGTTGTAAAATAATCTCTTTATTGACTCATTAAGAAAACTACTGCATAAATGCTGACAGAAGAAAATGATTGTTATTGTACTTTGTCTTACCTCACGTCTTAGTATTGGTATCACGACTTTGTCTAAAGAGTGTGAAGAATAAATCTAAGATATAATATGAACGATTTCAATTTAAATAATATTATATGTTACTTAGTATCAACCTTTTACTCAAGTAAAAAGATTCATTCGATATATTGGAGATGTGAATTCCATGCAGCCATGAAGGTGGGTTGGTTTTGCTTGTTGGGATATGAATGTCCCAATTAGGGCAAGAAGTGTGACAAGATAGCATGGCAGTTAAAAAGCAAACAAGAAAGTAAGTGGAAATGAACAAATTCAAAGGAAAGAGTGGCTGGGAATTACTGCACAGAGATTACTGCTGTCTCAGATAATCCTTCAGGGAATATTGATAGATAAGGATGGTTGGTCCATTTTAGTTCTAATACCAGCCTATAAATAATATCTTTCATGATCACAGATAATAAATACTTTTTTTATTATTATATTGAAAATTAACATTGTTCATAAAAATTTCTATCATTTATATTAAAAGTATAGAATAATAAGAACAGAAAAACATTAAATTAAAAAGAAAAAATTATCCTCCGTTGAAATTGAATGTTTTTTGCAGAGATGAAGAAAACATTTCCAAAGACGTGGGGATGAGAAGAAGCCAACGAATGAAGAAATGAGTGTGCAGAATGAAGGAGAATATTTGAGGAGGATCAATATTCGCGAACATCATTTATAATTCATTTAATAAAAAGATTCTCTCAGGAGCTCTCAAAACCACCAAACCGAAGGGTAGCAGACAAAATAACCGCAAGTGGCTCTCATCAATTCTACCATATAAAATCATTCATATCCATTCAGATTACACTCACAATCAAAGCACTTCTCTTCAGACTTCTAACTGTTTCATTTCAGTCTATCACCCATGGCTTCTCTCTCTTGCTCCCCCGACGACCTGGCTCCACTCATCAACCACACCGCCGCCGCCAACTACCTCTGTAACCAGTTCGATTCCATTTCGAGAAAGCTCAACGACACCACCTACGCGGTCGACAACACCTACCTTCTTTTCTCCGCGTATCTGGTCTTCGCCATGCAGCTTGGTTTCGCCATGCTCTGCGCCGGCTCCGTCCGAGCCAAGAACACCATGAACATCATGCTCACCAACGTCCTCGACGCCGCCGCAGGTGGCCTCTCCTACTACCTCTTCGGCTTCGCTTTCGCCTTCGGTGGCCCTTCCAACGGCTTCATCGGCCGCCACTTCTTTGGCCTTAGAGATTACCCCATTCCCACCGGCGACTATAGCTTCTTCCTATACCAGTGGGCTTTCGCCATCGCCGCCGCCGGAATCACCAGCGGCTCCATCGCGGAGAGAACGCAATTCGTTGCTTATCTCATTTACTCTTCTTTTTTAACCGGGTTCGTTTACCCCATCGTTTCGCATTGGTTCTGGTCCGCGGACGGTTGGGCCAGCGCGACGCGAAGCGACGGGAAAGTCTTGTTCGGGTCCGGAGTCATCGACTTTGCGGGCTCCGGCGTGGTTCACATGGTTGGTGGCATAGCGGGCCTGTGGGGGGCTTTAATTGAAGGCCCGAGAATCGGGCGGTTCGACCGGACGGGCCGGTCTGTTGCATTGCGCGGGCACAGCGCCTCGTTGGTTGTGTTGGGTTCGTTTCTGTTATGGTTCGGGTGGTACGGGTTCAACCCCGGTTCGTTTTTTACCATAGCGAAGGGGTATGGGGGCTCGGGGTATTATGGTCAGTGGAGTGCGATAGGGAGGACAGCTGTCACCACGACATTGGCCGGGAGCACGGCGGCTCTGACGACGTTGTTCAGCAAGCGGTTATTGGTGGGCCATTGGAACGTTACGGACGTGTGTAACGGCCTGCTCGGCGGGTTCGCTGCCATCACCTCGGGCTGTGCGGTTGTGGAGCCGTGGGCAGCGATAGTGTGTGGGTTTGTGGCCGCGTGGGTTTTGATCGGGCTTAATAAGCTGGCAACGAAAGTGGAGTACGATGACCCTTTGGAGGCGGCGCAACTTCACGGCGGGTGTGGCGCGTGGGGGGTGTTGTTCACGGGGTTGTTTGCGAAGAGGGAGTACGTGGAGGAGATTTATGGAATTGGGAGGCCGTGCGGGGCGTTGATGGGTGGCGGCGGGAAGTTGGTGGCGGCGCAGGTGATTCAGATAGTGGTGGTGTGTGGGTGGGTTACGGCGACGATGGCGCCGTTGTTCTACGGTCTTCATAAGATGAATCTGTTGAGGATATCGAGGGATGATGAAACTGCAGGCATGGATTTGACGAGGCATGGTGGGTTTGCTTATGCTTATCATGACGATGAAGATGATTCGAGCAGGGGCGTAGGATTGATGATGCGTAAGATAGAACCTGCTAGTGCTTCTCCCTCTCCCCCCGCTGCACCACAAGTGTGATGACTTCATCCTCCTTCCATTTCTTCTCTCTGGTTACTGCACATACTAATATCCACGTTTAAAAACTGTGATGCTTAAAGAAATCGCTTTTCAGACAGACAAAGATCACAATGTAATCGCTTTGTCTGTACATTTTTAAATGTTTTTGGTTTGGTTTGCTTTTGATTTTTAAATGTAAAACTTTTCCTTTCAAAACTAGTTTTGTCGATTAATAAATCGACAGTGTCACTTAGTTTGTGTTCTGCAGTACTAATACTAAAAGCTAATTAGTTGATCATGATACAGGCATATTTTCTGACGCATTATGCAGATTATGATTTCCTAATCCTGTGACACTGAAATGTATGTAGTATTTCAGCGTGCACAATTTTCTCCGTAAAACATCATTGCTGAAGCTCAAGTACCATTCATCTCAGCTTGGTAACATGAACATATGATCTCTGAACACGGATTTTACAACTGATATTAACACAAGGCAAACCGATATTGTAATTGTCAACTTTAGTTGATTCCTCCACCAAGGTTACCTAACACTCTTACCAATGTGTGAGCAACAATTGTTATCCATTAATTATCTTAATTAATGTTTATATCAAATCTTACAAATATGAATTGATAATAGAAATGTTACTCAAACTTTTTCATATATTCAAAATCAATGTAGGTTGATGTAATATGAGCATTATATTAATTTAACATCTTATAAATAAAATTTATATGATTAATTCTTTTAATTCAATGATTAATTTTACATAGTTATTATATATTGATAAATATATATATATATATATATATATATATATATTTTTTGACATGGCACAGAGAACTGATCTTCATGAAAATTCCCTATTAAATTAAAATAAGAAACGACGAAAGTTCATGAAATATGTTAAGAAGAAATTGTTATATAATCTAAAGTTTAGCTAATTTTTATCCAACAGAATTTTCCGGGTTTCTGAACTTGCAAGAAAGAATTAACAGTGTTTCATTTGGTGTCATAAAAGTTAATTGGAACATCTAAACGACTTAATAATTTTTACTGATTAAGAGTTTCTACCAACATCAGCCAAACGAACTCGGCCCAATTGACCACTAGGGCAACCCGTTCAATCTCCCTTACAAAATGATGATGCTAGCTAGACCTTATGTTTAATGGAGTGTTTTTTTTTTTTTTTTTTTTTCAAATAACAGCAATGGAATTCAAAACATATGATCCATACAAATCTTTTAAACCCAGAAATTAGAGTAAAATTATTTAATTTACTTTGCAAATAATTTTTTTTAACAACTTTAATTCAAAAACTTTATTCCAGTATATGAACAATGATAGAATAGTTTAATATTATTCTATAAGTTATATATACAAAAAAATGTTTTCAGATAATTCAATATTATAAAACTTTTGATTCGATTGTCAAAATATCTCTAATCAATTTTAATTCTTCAAATAAAATGTCAGTATCAACATCATAAGAATTTTCATATTTTAGATAAGTTTAATGTAATTTCAAATCTTGGCCAGAGAACAATGGTCTTTCAATACTAAACAAAAATATTATAATCTTCAATATTAATATTTGGTTTATTATACTAAAATAACACATATATCATATTAATAAAAACTACAGAAATTTTAATTTTAGCATGTGCATATACAAACTTTTTTTTTCCTCCAAAAATTTAGAATTGGACGGTCGCCTACCTTGATACATATATAATCTAATTCACAAAAATATGAGATTCAATGAATTAATTAACTTTATATTCTATGAAAAATTTCAGACATCATGTTTAAGCGATTCTAAACTTGCCATTTGCAATCGTGTTTATGCATCGATTAAAAAAAACAACACAGTGAAGTGGTATGAACAAGAATGGAAACAGAACAGTATGAATTCTATAGTACAAATAAAGAATAATGTAACATAAAGATACCACTTGAGATGAACTTTTTTTTTTGTATTTAGATGGAGTAATTTGAAAGTGAAGTATATCTGCGTGCATGAGAATTGATATGTACGTTAGTTAGTTCATAATATCATGGGCACTGTGGATTGTTCCCAGGCCCACCATAGTAGAAGTAGGTGCCCCATTCGTTGGTGTAGAAGCTCTTGATGTCGTAACAGTTTGTGTTTTCGGCCAAGGTTGAGATGCTCTGCACAGAACTCAGACTGTTATCCATGTCCACGATCTGAAGGTTCCGGAAGTAACTTGCTTTTCCAAAACCATCTTCTGCAAAGTGTCCAGACCCCATTTGGGTGAAGGTGTGTTGCCCGTTGCTGCGTGAGTTCACCACCTCTCCTCCCCACTCCACCATTGTTGCATGCTCTGCCAGGTGTGTGAATAGCTCTGCGGGCCAATACCCCACCAATGTGTTGTCACCAAAACTCATCCACCAATTCCCTACTTTTGGATCCTGATCATCAAACAGAATATAAACTTGGGAAAAAGATCCTTTATGTTGTTTCACTTTGTCATCATGCTCATGCATATGAAATTCACATCCATGAATTTGTACGTGGGATGGAAGAAATACTTACCTTCCAGATGAGAATGGTAATGTCATACTGGTTGCCATCATAAGAAGAGACAGGAGAAATCGCAGCTCCAATGGCTATTCTACTGTTGGTTTGAATAAAGCCAGCACAAAGAAGGTTGTAACATCCGGTTGCCCTATATGAATCACTCTGCAACACCAAAAAATTTCAGATATTTCAAACTTATGATAAAAGATTCAAACTTCATAAAATATCCTAAAGAAAAAGTTCAGAAAATTAAACACTTATTGAAGTTTCTGTAATAAGATTATGCTGAAATGTATATATAGATGCTAACCGTCCAATAAGTGAACAATCTGGGTCTGCTGTCACCATAGAGCTCCGGACTGACCTGACTAGTAGAATGATCAAAGCTTCAGAGATCCACTATTTCATAAAGTTATACTTTTTTTTCTTACTCATTAAGTGCATTAATGTAATGTGTCGTGTATCACATGCATTCCGATTAACTCATGAAATGTTCGGCTACTTCAAGGAACCAGTTGAAGATCAACTTTACAAAACAATAGTAAAAAAGAGCGTGACAACGTGAATGAGGACTGAACTCATCATCTTGAAATAGTTTTTAATCTAATATTTTAATGGGAATTCGTTATTCACCCTCTATCTTAGATTAAACAAAGAAGATCCTATAAAATAGTTTTACTTCAACTTGTGTTATTAAATATGTTGATGACAAAATAGATAGGGGGGACAGAAGAGAGTTGAAATTGGAAGGAGTACCTGCCATCCAGCTTCGATGCTATTAAGATCAGTGCCATCGAAGGATCCTGAAAGAATCCAAAGTTGTGAAAGACTAAATTCGTTGATCACTTGAATTGATGGATCCCATACATTTATTGTTGCCTTTGCCCCGTACATTTCTTGCGACGACCCCGTATATGCGATCGCATGCTGCATACGTCAATGTTATAATTAATCAAAATTTAGTTAAAATCTCTTTTCAACAAAAAAAAAATACAAATTATGCAGTACAATCTAAGCAATCTTGATGGCTTTCAATCTTAATATATTAAGTAATATTTAAAAGAATTCAGTGTTCTCAACACAGCTAGCAGCATCTTCTAGATCTATTTGTGAAAAATATCATACAATTTCGATCTTTGCACGCATGATTTAATAATCATATCTGTTAATCATATTTTTTTAAAAAGAGAAAGTACCTTCATGTGGAAAACTATGTTAAAAAATGTATGACAAATCAGATCCCTATAGTTCTATTAGCACAGATTCACCCTAAAACTGTCTGCAGCTATCATTGAAGCCATGAGGCAGAAATTGATTATGTGTGAAGTTACGAGCAATATTGCATTGATTGGAAAGGTGTAATAATATTTGAAGTGGTAGCATTAATATTTTGCTATGGAATAATCTAGAGAAGCACGCACCTCATGGCCATTGCCGCTGAGAACATCGGGGACATCGTTGCGGCCAGAGAGAGGAACTCGTGAACGTTTCTTCCCAAACTCATACAAAGACTTTGCTCTCAACACGTCATGCACCGTGCTCCGTCGTATTGGGACCGTTCCCTTGGGACACCTTGTCCCGTTTAAGTGCCACATCTGCCATGCCTTCTCGCTTCCTCCTTCCCCTTCCATGTCACTCGTACTATTCACCTTCATCCCTTTTGGCATCTCCATTGGCATTTTCTATTGCATCCATCAAATAACACTAAAGATTTAATTTTTATTCAGCAGGCGTGGACCAAACACGAGTAGATGAACATGAGTAATGTGCAAGCAAAGCAAATAAAGAGGGTAGTCAAATTAATTAGGTTTGTTGTCCACGTTTACCTGGATCTTGTGATTCCTTAAAAGGGGGTGATCTAAAGCCAGTTGCTTTCTTTTGTGAACACAGTCTATAAGATCTCCATCTGCACTCTGCAATACCATCAAACACCAAAAGGAATACTTAATGTTACATAATAATGAAAGAAAACCAACATTTATGTCGCCATGAAAATCTCAACCACTGATAAACGTACCCTGAAACTATATATATATATATATATATATATATATATATATATATATATATATATATATATATATATATATATATATATATATATATATATATATAGTGGTAACAATATTATTATTACCTCTATGGTGAGCACAGGAGGCTTATTGATCTTGTCCAAGTGCCTGCTAATCCTTTCAAGCCTCAGGGTACTGGTTTGCCTGTGTCTGGTGTAATTTAGCGTTCTGGATTCAGCCATAGCCCTTTGTAGAAGAAGCATGGCAACAAAGAAAATGAGAAGGAGAAGATGGTCCTTACAAGGAGCTGAACAGGAGCACCTTCCCTTTCTCCCAGTAATACCCATATCTTTTTCAGCGCCAAGAAAGAAAATGGGTAAAACAAATAAACTTAAAGTTAGGAAACCATTACTAGCAAAGCAAAGGGCACAAAGAAAATCTGTCTTTCATGGTTATTTCCAAGCCTAAACACTGAACCAAGAAAAGAAAGTTGGAAAAGGACTTGTTGAGAGGACTGATAGGAGGGAAGGCTCCTCTATCTCTCTGTATTTAATAATATTAATGGCGAGGAGGGGAGTTGTTGAGATCAATTAAGCTGATGCTGCTCAGAGACCCTTTTGAACGTTCAGCATCATGATCATGATTGCCTGCTTTTGATTTATGTACTGATGGTGCATGGTGAAGCACCACACATGCAGTTTGAAGATTTCTGGTGTAGTTAGTGGGATTGCACAAAAAACTTTGAAGCAAGGAAAGAATTTGTGAGGTGGAAAAGAAAGGGAACTTGGTTAGCTCTGAAAGTTGAAACTTAATGAAAGCATTATAAAAACTCAGACCTACCCAACTGAAACAATCCACCTTTTATTGCAGTTCTTCAATGTGCATCTGCCACCATACACTTTGCCATTAATATTTGGCTTGAAGCACACCTTCCCTCCCTCCCTATAGTTTGCTTTCCTTCACAGTCTCTCCATTCCTTTGCTTAACCTTTTTTTAAGCTCTGACAAATTAAGTAGCACTCAATTGGTGGAGAGGTGCTCTTTTAACCTTTTGGTTTTTCCACGTGGGGCAGCCCTACTTTTCAATTTCATCACCTACATCGGTGCAGGTGTATCCCAATTCATGTCAACACATAATATGGTTTTGAAAACCCCAACATTTATCTTTACAAGTTTCTTCAAATAATTTTTATTTTTTAAACCTAATTATTTTCAAATAGTAAACATTAATCTTATTCGGCCTATATTTTGAAACATTCAACCATTCCACCATGAGGGTGTTGATCTGTTCATAACTCGTGCTCTTTATTGACGTTGATAAATAATGATATATTAATGTTTTTTGGTGGGATGATATATTCACAATCACAACCCATCTCTTACTAATCATAAATAGTTATATAATCATAAATAATATTGTTATATTAATCTTCGTGGTTGTTTGAAAGATGATTTTGAGAAACATGATTGTATAAACATCATTTTTCATCTTCCACTACCACATAGGTACTCTTTTCCATTCTTAAACTCTCCATGTTTATGGTTATTATTAGAGAGTGCTTGATAAAAAAATTAATATTGTTGACAAATGGTAAATTAAAATACTCTCATTTACTATTTGAGTTTTAGTTATTATATCATGAATCAAAATAAGCATAGGTGAAAAAATAAAAAGTCAGAATAAACTAAAAATAAATAAATAATTCTATGAATCAAATTAAATCAACTCTATTTTAGTATGCTCGTTTAATATGATTAAAATAGGCTTAATTTAAGTCGTAATTTTTTATTAAATAATAATTATTTTTTAAATAAAAATATGTTATTTTATTAATATATATATATATATATATAATATTATAATAATTTTAAAAGAGATATACTTAAGTAAAACATACACTCTTCATCTTTATTATTTATTTTTTTAATATAATAATTTACATATCAAATTATTATATTTAAAATAAAAATTAATTTTATTAATGTAAATTAAATTAAATTTTTTTGTTTATAGTTATTTTTATATAAATATGATATAATTTATTTTAATTCTTAATCAAGTTAAACGATATATTTTAAAATATAATTTAAATTGAGTGGTTAGAATTTTTTTATCTGATCAGCCAAATTTGACTGCACCGACAAGAGACTTATATAATAAAAGAAATATGATAGTTAATATTTTTTAGAAAAAAATTATTTTAATTAAATAATAAATTATTTTAAAGTGTTTAGGTAAACTTATTTAAAAAACAGGTACAGACAAAAAAATTATTTTCCCTATAAATGACTTAGAGTTGTTCATTAATTATAAAAACAGATGCAAGATATATATTCAAAGAGAAAACATTTATAGAATAATTACTTAAAAATAATTTATTTATAGAAGAATTACTTAAAAATTATTTTTTTTAGAATTTTTTTTTACAATCCAACTGGGTTTAATTTATTTATTATTATTTTTTTATATCTCTTTTATTATATTAAATTTTAATTATAATACTTAATTCATGAGTCATACATAGAGATTAAAGATAAATTATATATATTTTCCTTTTTTTAATCTACTGATATAAGACAAATTTTAATGGTGAAAAATTTTAAAATAAACATTACCTTAAAATTGAAACGTGGTGGTCTTTGAAGATTGCAGCATGTTCCTATGTTTGTCAATGACTAGTTGCAAATTTAGTAGCACTAGAGCAATTCATTTTTCCCCAACGTATTCTAAATCGTATATACCATGTTTTCATAAACTTTGAAATGGGATACTCCGATTTCATCCACCAATAGAGCTATATCATAATTTTGAAGTAACTGAAGGTTAAGTCTTTCTAGGTCTAAGAAAATGTCCTTCAAATAATTATATCAATATAATGTAATGTAGTTAAGTATATAAAAAAAGTAAGATAACTTCTATAAAGGAATGTCAAAAGCCATTAATGTATTAGAATTATCTTAAACGTGATAAATTAATTATTAAATTCATTTTATAAGTTAAGTTCACGCACAATTTGGTTATTCTAGTGTACATTTAGCCAACTTGCCCTTTCTCTACTTGAAGAGAAAAAATAAATAAAAAGACAAAAATATTAATTATTACACATAACTTCCCAAATATAAAGCTCTACATGTATGATCTTTAAATAAATACTTTAAATAAAATAAAATAAGATCTATAAATCCAAACAGGAGTTTGACTCAAGTTTTTTTTTTTTTTGAGAATGATAAGTGTGGGTTAAGTTAAGAAATCATTAATGAGGAATATTTGACTTAGCTATACCTTCTGTTGTTAATATTTTGTGGGGTTGTTCACAGTTTGGTACACAACAACGTTCAATGATCGCTTTAAAGGCAAGAGTTCCTCTTTATCAGTGATGAATATACCTAAATTATACTTGTATATGCTTTAAAAACCTTATTTCTTTCTATTCACACCAACCATCACTCATATTCATATACTTTAGCTCCACTCATAACCAAATCATCATACTCAATTATGTTCATATCTCAACAATAAAAACTATGCTCTCAATCACTCCTCTTAACTTCTATAAATTTATTGACCAATCATTTTTCCAAAGATAGCCTTACCACTGATGATACTATATAGGTTCGCTGCAAGCCCAAGATTTTTTGTGCGGGCTTTTAGGTCATCCAGGCCTGCATTAACATAGCACTTCAACGAAAATTTTATATTTTCAATGCACTAAACAGAAAAATATAGATTGGACTACACTCTATCGACATCCTCAGGTATTTGTTGAAATCTAATTTCAGCACAATTTTTTTTTTAAGTTGCTTTTAAATATTTGAAGGTGACAATTTTGGTTAAAAGTAACAATACTCTACAAGTTTGAGTTAATAAAAAAAATCATTATTAAATATAGTTGAAGTTAGATGCATACAAAAATCAAGATAGTACGGAGAAAATGATTTCAGATGATTCCAATTCCAGAGCACGCTTTCTTTGATTCGAGGTTTTGACTGCGAAAGTTCAAACCAGTGCTACGTGGCTGTCGCAACGAAGTCACTTCATGACACTAATCCTTCGAGTCTGTTAAGATATATAAGAATTACTCAATTCTTATAAATTTATTTAAAATATTTAAATTTGCGTTAAAAACATTAAAATGGTATATTTTTAAATTCAAATTATTAATTTTGGATAATTTTTTAAAAAATTACGTAAATAAATAAGTTATATTTGATAAAAACGACTTTTTTTTCATAAAGTTACTTTTTCTTATAAAATCTTGCTTGATAACAAGACTTACTCATTAAAATTATTAAAAAATAATAATTTGAATTTAAAATTACACTATTTCAATGTTTTTCTTCGATTATTTTTTTATTATTATTGATTTGTTGTTAATAATAGTAAAGTACTTTTTTTATTTTGAAAAATATCTTAAAAATCAAAATAGGTATTATTTAAAAAAAAAAAAGATAAGGGATGGATGGGTTTCAGTTTAATCAAATAGTAACAAATGTTTTAGAAAAAAAGATTATGAAACCAAAATTCTTGTGGCGAAGTAGTCTGCAGTGGTAGAAACAGATGTTTCTCCCTGTGAGCGCCACGAGTCAGTTCTCAGCATCGATCCTCTGTTATGTTTGCAAGTGTCTATCGCTCACAGATCATGACTCGTTTCGTCACTGCATAATGTATAGATATAGTTCTTATTAACCAAGTAGCATGATAGTTACATTCCTGCACTGCAACATCGTTGATTGATGCCTGTATTGACTAAGCTAAGATGGAAGAAGCAAAGGGAGAAAGAGTAGGGTTGGGAAAAAGGCCACGCTCAAGAAAAGGGTGCATGAAGGGAAAAGGAGGACCCCAGAATGCTACGTGCAGGTACAGAGGAGTGAGGCAGAGGACGTGGGGAAAATGGGTTGCCGAAATACGAGACCCCAAACGCGGCCTTAGGCTTTGGCTTGGCACCTTTAACACCTCCATTGAAGCAGCACATGCATACGACGACGCTGCAAGAAGCCTCTATGGTGCATCGGCCAACCTCAATTTGGGTGCACCTAATAATCACGCTTCACATGATCACTGTTTGAATATCGTTCCTACTGCACAGTCACCACAACCTGATGCTCCAACCCTAGTCGACTCCAAAACTGATGACACTCCCACTGATAATACTACGTTGTTTGAGGAAACGAGCAACATTGAGGGGTTGTTTTGGGAGACTAGTTTGGAGCGTGATACCTGGACTAGTTCTCGAAACTCCATCAGGGATGATTTTCTGGAGCTCAATACGATCGTTCATGGCCTCAACGATTGGGATCGGCGTTAATCAGGGATGGTTTAATTACCATCCTTCACCTGCATCCATATTCTGTCTCTATTATCTGTACTGTAATTTCTTCCTTCAGTCGTAATATGAATACGTCAACGTGGATCAATGTATTAAAAAAATTATACAAACGTGTTATAGTTATAATTGATCTTCATCAAACCATGTGTTTCATTTTTCAAAAGTGTTTGTTTCTTAACCATGTCTCTAACTAAGTCCTTCTTATAGCTATAGTACTTTCTTTTTTACTTTTCATTTCCTTATCTTCTTTTTTTTTCTTCTTTTCCACGGTATTGATTTATCCCATCATTGTTTTCATTTTCTTTACTAATTCTTCTTATCTGTGTTTCATCTAACTCCAAATCCACCACAAAATGTAATAGAAAAGAAAGGAGACGGGAAGGGAAGAAGTAGTACAATACGAATGTACACTCTGAAAATTGAGTGTTATGATGAATGAAAGCGAAAGAAAAAATAATAAAAAAATGTAATGAGAAAATATAAAATAAAAGATATATATTTACTCGTGTTTTTGTGTTGACCAAAATCCACCGTTCCATGTAAAGCCATAGCCACCATTCTACCCTAGAGCATGTAAAATTTAATTTATGAGAAAAAGTATTTTATTTTTTTCTCACTCTCATAAAATAAATATTTTCTAAGGATTGTTTTTTATCCACTGGCTGTGAGATTTTTGGTCTGTTGCATTTATGCTTTTTTTCTCAGTGAAGTTGGAAGCATGCGTGAAGAATGAATAAAATATTATTATATTTATGCATTAATTTAGGTATAAAATTTTATACGTTGTTGGAAACGATTTTATTATGTATTATTGTTGTCTTGGATCATATAGGTTAGTTTGTGCATTATTGTTAGTTTGTGCATTGTTCTTGTAAATAGGTGTTTGGAGTTTTGAAATCATAGTTTAGAAGGAGTTGGTGGTAAAATGGAAAGATTTCATATCACCAAGTTCTCTATTAATTAAATATACATTTTAATTTATTATATTTATATTAAAATATGTATGTAAAAGAAATATTTAATCATTTTTTATCTATAACATTATTATTATAACATCTGTATTCAAATATTTGAATACTTATAATAATATTATTATAATACTTGTATTCAAACATTTAATTATATATATAAGTTAATTCATTTTTAAGTTGTCATTTAAAAATATGAAATACATAGTTTATAAGGAAATATGTAATAAGTTAATTCTTATTCAATTAGTTTAAAGTAATAAAAGTTTAAATTATCAATTCCTTTAATCTTTTAAAATACAATTATTTTATTAAGATAAAATTTGATATATGATAAATAAGAATAATAAGATAAAAAAATATGACATAATAAAAGCTAATAAATATAAATTATAAATAAAATAATATTAGTTACTACTAAGATTTATCTAAAATATTTAGAAAAAGATAAAGAATAAAAAAAATTAACTTTGTGTTCATCAAATTGGTTGAAAAGATTGAAAAAAAAAACAAATTGATGGGAGAGATTAAGGAAATGTGAAAAAGCTGAAAGGTAAGAGAAAAAATAATGTAATAAATTAATTGATATAAAATATTAAAAAAGATAAAAAATTAAAAAGTGGGTAGAAGAAAAAAAAATTGGTGAAATATAAAAAAATACCTTCTATGTAATAGAAAAAGAAATACTTTTAAAATATTAATATTTTAAAATTAAAATTTAAATATACAGATCGGAGCGAGGACGGGGTCGGGGTCGGGGTGGGGATTGCGTTACCCATCCCCGTCCCCGTCCCCGCTCTCGACTTTTTAAAGCGGGGAAAACCCAAACCCGTCCCCCCGGTCAACTCGGGTTTTCCCCGTCAAATTTGGGGCGGGAACGGGTCAGTCCCCATGGGTACAGGTTTAATTGTCATCCCTACCTGTGGATTTGACTCCAAAAGATTGTACAAAGTCAAAGAGTTTCACAGATGAGTTATGGATGTTTCCACAACTTGTTGATTTGTGGTCCAGAATACACAGTTGAAATCAAAGAGTTTCACTTGTAAATTTTTCCACAACCTGTGAATTTGGCTAAAGAGTATACAACAATGGAAACTAGCAGGTTCCACAAGCTGGTTGTGGATTTTTCCACAACTTGTGGATCTGGCTCGCGAACAGTTTTTGTATTAAGTGGACTGATAAATAATTAAAAGAAAGAAAAAGGAAAAGAGGGGAAACGGTTATGGGAGAGAGAAACAAGGAAACGCGGAGAGAAAAAGGAGGAGAAAACTAACACTACAAAAGGGGACGAGATCTTCTTCATCGAGAGGTTCCAATTTATATGTTTTTCAGTAATTTTTACATTATGCAGAACTAATTTTCCCTTTTGTTAGATGATTGATGTGGTACTCTGAATTATATTTTCTTATTCTTTACAATTGATGTTTAATTAATGTTCTTTATCTTAGTGTTTTATTTATAATTTTTAAGTTCATTCTACGAGCAGTTTCACAATTGGGAGATTGAAGGTTGTTCGCGATCCTAAATAGAACAGGTTAGGGTTTGTCATAATTGGGAAATTGGGCATATATATAATTAGTTTGTAATAGAGAAGATTTTTGTTCTTCATAATTCTATTGAATGACGTAAATAACCTAAGGGATTAGGGGTTCAAATTCAATGAATAATTTTACCTAATAAGGGATTAGGAGTAAAACAACTCTGGGTAAACTCAAGTGGATAATTACATTTCTTTCATCAATTGGAAGGAGTAGAATTCTATATGAAAAGGTACGAAATCAATCATCTAACAGTTGTTATCTTGATTGAAATTTTTTATTATAATTATGTGCTTGTTTTTCTAAATCTCATTTTTGGTTGCTCAAACTTACGTAAATTAGGAATCTAGTATTCAACAAAGTCAATTCCAGAGCACGATATTTTATTACTACGTTAACGATTGGTGCACTTGCCAAACATTTATCAAGTTTTTGGCGTCGTTGCCGAGAATTGATTTTTCTGTTGATATTAGTGATCTAATTCGCTTAAGATTTGAGTATTAGTTTTTAGGTAGTCAAAACTGTTTTTATTTCTAGTTATTTTATTTTTTCTGTTTTCATTATCTTGTTTGTTTTTTCTATTGTCACGTTAATTTTGTTGTTAGAATATTGTGTTTTTATGTTGTTTATGTGAGATACAGTGGCAGAAAATTTTTTGCTTTTTGACCCAAAAATTGAATGTACTGCTAGATGTAACAAAAGTGACGCAAGAAAGAAGAAGCAAAAAGGAAAATCAGAGACATCAAGTGAAAAGAAAGAGAACATATCAACAATGGTAAAAGAACAACTAGAGAGGAAAAATCTTTTCGATTATTCTATGCCAGATGTGAATAATTACCAAGGGAGCATTGTGAGACGTCCTATTCAAGTCAACAATTTTGAAATCAAGCCTGCATTGCTACAAGTCATCCAACAAAATCAATTTGGAGGTGCAGTTTTAGAGGATCTCAATTCTCATCTAGACAATTTTCTGGCCATTTGTGATACTTTGAAGCTTAATGGAGTTTTAAGTGAGACAATCTACTTGAGGCTTTTTCCTTTCTCACTACGGGATAAAGCTAAAAGCTGGGTTCAAATACAACCTCAATGAAGTATTATTACATGGGAAGATATGGCTACAAAATTTTTAACCAAATACTTTCCTCCATCCAAGTCGGTGAGAATGAGAAATGAAATCACTACTTTTGTGCAGTAAGAGACTGAATCTATGTATGAGGCTTAGGAGAGGTACAAGGAGCTATTGAGGAAATTTCGACATCATGCTTTACCAGATTGGTTACAAGTCCAAATATTTTGTAATGGTCTTGTACCCTCTTTTAGAGCAATGTTGGATGCAGCAAGTGGATGAGGATTTAATCTGAAGACACCAGCAGAAGCTTTGGAGACTATTGAGTTAATGGAAAATAATACAAGGAATATGCAATTTGATCGTCAGAATAGAAAAGGTGGAATGTTAGAAGTAAACACTTTGGATGTTATCCTAGCCCAAAACAAGTTGTTAACACAACAAATGATCGAGTTGACTAAGAAAATTGATAATGTGCAAGTGAAAGCAGTGAAGACAACACCTTTATCATGTGATTTTTGTGGAAGAATGCATCAAAATGGTGAATGTTAAGTCACTCAACAAGAGGTGCAGGTGAATGCAGTGGACCAACATTAGAATCAACTTGCTAACAATTTCAATACAAATTGGAGAAACCCACCAAACCAACCTTGGAGTGGATCGAATCAATCCAATAAGCTAAAGCTTCAGTATGAATATCAACCACAATCTAACAACCAAGGAAATAAGATGTTTACTTTGGAGAAGGCTTTAGAGAAGCTAACTGAGCAAACCTCAACATTTGTGGAATAGACTTCTAATTTCATGAATGAGACAAAGACGAATTTCAAGAATCAAGAAGCTTCAATTAGAAATTTGGAGAACCAAATTGGTCAACTTTCACGACAAATCTCAGAGCAATCTCCTAGAACATTTCCTAGTGACACAATTACCAACCCAAAGGAACAATGTAAGGTAATTCAATTGAGGAGTGAGAGATTGGTAGAGAATGAGAATAGAAGTGAGATGGGTAGTGAGAGAAAAGAACAAAGGGATGAGATTGTGAAATAGAATGAAAAAAAAGAGCATAAAAATTGTGAGGAGGAGAATGAGGGGGAGACAAATCAAGAAAATGAAAAAGGTAAAATGAGAGAATATGTTCCTATTATTCCATTCCCTAAAAGGTTGAAGAAGAAAGAACAAGAGAAGCAATTTGCAAGATTTCTTGATGTCTTTAAGAAGCTCTACATTAACATCCCATTTGCTAAAGCATTTGAGCAAATGCCAAAACTATGCTAAATTCATGAAGGACTTATTGTCAAGAAAAAGGAAGCTTTAGGAGGATGAAACTATAATGCTTATGGAGAGTGTAGTGCAATCATTTAACAAAAATTACCTTCCAAATTGAAGGATCTAGGAAGCTTTGTC